ACACACGCCGAGCGACCAGCACCTGGAAGTACAGACACCTGAACACACACACACGCCGAGTGACCAGCACCCGGAAGTACAGACACCTGAACACACACACACGCCGAGCGACCAGCACCCGGAAGTACAGACACCTGAACACACACACACGCCGAGCGACCAGCACCTGGAAGTACAGACACCTGACGAACACACACACACGCCGAGCAACCAGCACCCGGAAGTACAGACACCTGAACACACACACACGCCGAGCGACCAGCACCCGGAAGTACAGACACCTGAACACACACACACGCCGAGCGACCAGCACCTGGAAGTACAGACACCTGAACACACACACACGCCGAGCGACCGGCACCCGGAAGTACAGACGTCAACAACTTGTGGGGTTTTATAGTGTGGCGTCTGGCGCCCCCAGCTGGTGGGCGGATAAACTGTCCACAATACTACATCTACTTACAACTCTGATTTACAAAATAAATAATATCTTCCTTTACCATTTGCCACCTAGCGCTTGGAAGTTTTTAACATGCTTCACAAACATATTTATCAAAATAATTTGTTTAAACTCAAATATTGTTTGACATTTTTGAAGTTCCTCGTCCAATTTATCAAATTTTTTCCTGCACTGACAGTAAGACAAAAGTACAGAAGAGAGAAGGATGAGGGCTCTAATGCAGTGCATCCTGGGTAACTCCAGACACCCTCTGCATGACACTATGGCCGCTCAGAGGAGTCATCGAAGCAACAGGCTCCTCTCACTATACGCTGCAGAGGCCGGAGGGAGGCCGGAGGGAGGGAGGGAGACCATAGGGAGGCCAGAGAGAGGCCAGAGAGAAACTAGAGGGAGGCCGGAGAGAGGCCAGAGAGAGGCCAGAGGGAGGCCAGAGAGAGGCCAGAGGGAGGCCAGAGAGAGGCCAGAGGGAGGCCAGAGAGAAACTAGAGGGAGGCCGGAGAGAGGCCAGAGAGAGGCCAGAGGGAGGCCGGAGGGAGGCCGGAGGGAGACCAGAGAGAAACTAGAGGGAGGCCGGAGAGAGGCCAGAGAGAGGCCAGAGGGAGACCATAGGGAGGCCAGAGGGAGACCGGAGGCCGGAGAGAGACCAGCGGGAGGCCAGCGAGAGGCCAGAGGGAGGCCAGAGAGAGGCCAGAGAGAGGCCAGAGGGAGGCCATAGGGAGGCCAGAGGGAGACCGGAGGCCGGAGAGAGACCAGAGAGAGGCCAGAGAGAGGCCAGAGGGAGGCCATAGGGAGGCCAGCGAGAGACCAGAGGGAGGCCAGCGAGAGGCCAGAGGGAGGCCGGAGAGAGACCAGAGGGAGGCCAGAGAGAGGCCAGAGGGAGGCCAGAGGGAGGCCAGAGAGAGGCCAGAGAGAGGCCAGAGGGAGGCCAGAGAGAGGCCAGAGAGAGGCCAGAGGGAGGCCGGAGGGAGGCCGGAGAGAGGCCGGAGAGAGGCCAGAGGGAGGCCAGAGGGAGGCCAGAGAGAGGCCAGAGGGAGGCCAGAGGGAGGCCAGAGGGAGGCCAGAGGGAGGCCAGAGGGAGGCCAGAGGGAGGCCAGAGGGAGGCCGGAGGGAGGCCGGAGGGAGGCCGGAGGGAGGCCGGAGGGAGGCCGGAGAGAGGCCGGAGAGAGGCCGGAGGGAGGCCGGAGAGAGGCCGGAGAGAGGCCGGAGGGAGGCCGGAGAGAGGCCGGAGAGAGGCCAGAGAGAGAGCAGAGGGAGGCCAGAGGGAGGCCAGAGAGAGAGCAGAGGGACGCCGGAGGCCGGAGAGAGACCAGAGGGAGGCCGGAGAGAGGCCAGAGAGAGGCCAGAGGGAGGCCATAGGGAGGCCGGAGAGAGACCAGAGGGAGGCCAGAGGGAGGCCAGAGAGAGACCAGAGGGAGGCCAGAGAGAGGCCAGAGGGAGGCCAGAGAGAGACCAGAGGGAGGCCAGAGGGAGGCCAGAGAGAGGCCAGAGAGAGGCCAGAGGGAGGCCAGAGAGAGGCCAGAGAGAGGCCAGAGGGAGGCCAGAGAGAGGCCAGAGGGAGACCAGAGAGAGACCAGAGGGAGGCCAGAGGGAGGCCAGAGAGAGGCCATAGGGAGGCCAGAGAGAGGCCAGAGAGAGGCCAGAGGGAGGCCAGAGAGAGGCCAGAGAGAGGCCAGAGAGAGGCCAGAGTGAGACCAGAGGGAGGCCAGAGGGAGGCCAGAGGGAGGCCAGAGGGAGGCCAGAGGGAGGCCAGAGAGAGGCCAGAGAGAGGCCAGAGAGAGGCCAGAGAGAGGCCAGAGAGAGGCCAGAGAGAGGCCAGAGAGAGGCCAGAGAGAGGCCAGAGAGAGGCCAGAGAGAGGCCAGAGAGAGGCCAGAGAGAGGCCAGAGGGAGGCCAGAGGGAGGCCAGAGAGAGGCCAGAGAGAGGCCAGAGAGAGGCCAGAGAGAGGCCAGAGAGAGGCCAGAGAGAGGCCAGAGAGAGGCCAGAGAGAGGCCAGAGAGAGGCCAGAGGGAGGCCAGAGGGAGGCCAGAGAGAGGCCAGAGAGAAACTAGAGGGAGGCCGGAGGGAGACCAGAGAGAGGCCAGAGGGAGGCCAGAGAGAGGCCAGAGAGAGGCCAGAGAGAGGCCAGAGAGAGGCCAGAGAGAGGCCAGAGAGAGGCCAGAGGGAGGCCAGAGGGAGGCCAGAGAGAGGCCAGAGAGAAACTAGAGGGAGGCCGGAGGGAGACCAGAGAGAGGCCAGAGAGAGAGGCCAGAGGGAGACCGGAGGGAGGCCAGAGGGAGACCGGAGGGAGGCCAGAGGGAGACCAGAGGGAGACCAGAGGGAGACCAGAGGGAGACCAGAGGGAGGCCAGAGGGAGGCCAGAGGGAGGCCAGAGGGAGACCAGAGGGAGGCCAGAGGGAGACCAGAGAGAGACCAGAGAGAGACCAGAGGGAGGCCAGAGGGAGGCCAGAGGGAGGCCAGAGGGAGGCCAGAGAGAGGCCAGAGGGAGACCAGAGGGAGGCCAGAGAGAGGCCAGAGAGAAACTAGAGGGAGACCATAGGGAGGCCAGAGAGAAACTAGAGGGAGGCCGGAGAGAGGCCAGAGGGAGACCAGAGGGAGGCCAGAGGGAGGCCAGAGAGAGGCCAGAGGGAGACCAGAGAGAGACCAGAGGGAGACGGAGGCCGGAGAGAGACCAGAGGGAGGCCGGAGGGAGACCAGAGGGAGGCCAGAGAGAAACTAGAGGGAGGCCAGAGAGAGGCCAGAGAGAGGCCAGAGGGAGGCCAGAGAGAGGCCAGAGAGAGGCCAGAGGGAGGCCAGAGAGAGGCCAGAGGGAGGCCAGAGAGAGGCCATAGGGAGGCCAGAGAGAGGCCAGAGAGAGGCCAGAGGGAGGCCAGAGAGAGGCCAGAGGGAGGCCAGAGAGAGGCCAGAGGGAAGCCAGAGAGAAACTAGAGGGAGGCCGGAGAGAGGCCAGAACAGGCCAGAGGGAGGCCAGAGAGAGGCCATAGGGAGGCCAGAGAGTGGCCAGAGGGAGACCAGAGAGAGGCCAGAGGGAGACCGGAGGCCGGAGAGAGGCCAGAGAGAGACCAGAGGGAGGCCGGAGAGAGACCAGAGGGAGGCCGGAGGGAGACCAGAGGGAGGCCGGAGGGAGACCAGAGGGAGGCCAGAGAGAAACTAGAGGGAGGCCGGAGAGAGGCCAGAGAGAGGCCAGAGGGAGGCCAGAGGGAGACCAGAGAGAAACTAGAGGGAGGCCGGAGAGAGGCCAGAGGGAGGCCAGAGAGAGGCCAGAGGGAGGCCGGAGGCCGGAGAGAGACCAGAGGGAGGCCGGAGGGAGACCAGAGGGAGACCAGAGGGAGACCGGAGGGAGGCCGGAGAGAGGCCGGAGAGAGGCCAGAGAGAGGCCAGAGAGAGGCCAGAGAGAGGCCAGAGAGAGGCCAGAGAGAGGCCAGAGGGAGACCAGAGGGAGACCGGATGGAGGCCGGAGAGAGACCAGAGGGAGACCGGAGGGAGACCAGAGGGAGACCGGAGGGAGACCAGAGGGAGACTGGATGGAGGACGGAGAGAGACTAGAGGGAGGCCGGAGAGAGACTAGAGGGAGGCCGGAGAGAGGCCAGAGGGAGGCCGGAGAGAGGCCGGAGGGAGGCCGGATGGAGGTCGGAGGGACTCCGGAGGGAGGCCGGAGAGAGGCCAGAGGGAGGCCGGAGAGAGGCCAGAGGGAGACCGGATGGAGGCCAGAGGGAGGCCGGAGAGAGGCCAGAGAGAGGCCAGAGAGAGGCCAGAGGGAGGCCGGATGGAGGCCGGAGAGAGGCCGGAGAGAGGCCGGAGAGAGGCCGGAGAACTTACTGAGTGGAGGAGCTGATGAGCTGTGGCAGTTCTGTGTTGTTGATTCGTGACTTTCTGAGATTTCTGTGATTTTCTCATTTCTGTTTATACTGAAATAAATTATTTATATTTGTATTGAAGTTGTGTGTAGTTTTTATGGAGCGGGGGTTTCTCTCACTCTGGTCTGGGGCCAAAAGATTTACTCATGGAGTTTTTTACACAAGAAAAGTTTATTTTTCATTTTGGGGAATTTTCTCAAAGTTTGTTATTTTTAATTATGAAGTTATGTATGAATTCTCGACCGGAAAAAGGTGCCTTGCCCTCTCCAGGTGGGTGGAGTGGTCCTTCCTCAAGTGGAGGAGTTCAAGTATCTCTGGGTCTTATTCACGAGTGAGGGAAGGATGGAGCGTGAGATTGACAGGCGGATCGGTGCAGCGTGCGCAGTGATGCGGTCGCTGTATCGGACCGTTGTGGTAAAGAGGGAGCAGCGTCTGCAGTCAGAGCTGTATCGGACCGTTGTGGTAAAGAGGGAGCAGCGTCTGCAGTCAGAGCTGTATCGGACCGTTGTGGTAAAGAGGGAGCAGCGTCTGCAGTCAGAGCTGTATCGGACCGTTGTGGTAAAGAGGGAGCTGAGCCGAAAGGCAAAGCTCTCGATTTACCGGTCAATCTTCGTTCCCTCCCTCACCTATGGTCATGAGCTTTGGGTAATGACCAAAAGAACGAGATCGCGGATACAAGCGGTCGAAATGAGCTTCCTCCGCAGAGTGGCTGGGCGCTCCCTTAGAGATAGGGTGAGGAGCTCAGTCACACGGGAGGAGCTCGGAGTAGAGCCGCTGCTACTCCACGTCGAGAGGAACCAGTTGAGGTGGCTCGGGCATCTGTTCCGGATGCCTCCTGGACGCCTCCCTGGGGAGGTGTTCCGGGCATGTCCCACCGGGAGGAGGCCCCGGGGAAGACCCAGGACACGCTGGAGGGACTATGTCTCTCAGCTGGCCTGGGAACGCCTAGGGCTCCCCCCGGACGAGCTGGAGGAAGTGTGTGTGGATAGGGAAGACTAGGCGTCTCTGCTTAGACTGCTGCCCCCGCGACCCGGCAACGGATGAAGCGGAAGAAGATGGATGGATGGATGGATGTATGAATTTTTTTTTTTGGACAAATTTAGTTGTTACCGTTTAGATTGAACCAAAACTGCTTGGTTTACACTGCTGCCCCCACGACCGGCTATGGATAAAGTGGAAGAGAATGAACAGATGCATAATATTCTTCCATCTTTGGCTAAAATGTTAGAATCCATTAAATGATGTGTTGATCTCTTTGGACATTTGGCTTTGACATATTTCATAATAATTAAGACAAACTCCAGACTAGTGTGAGTTCTAGAACGGTTGTGTTACCGTGGCAACAGGTTACCATAGAAACCACTGCAGACATCCTGGAGAAGGAGGCCCGAGAGGCTGTGGAGGCGAGCGGAGAGGAGGTGAAGGAGTTCTCCAAGTCCCTGAGCCAGAGGAGCAGGAACACAGCCCAGAGGGTGGTCAGCAGCCTCATGGGGGAACACACCAAGCAGAGCTGCCTGAACCAAACGCAGCAGAAAATCAAGTCTTTCTTTGTCCTTTGCTTCGCTGAGAGCTGCTGGAAGAAGGTGCTAAGAAGACTGTGCTGTCACGTCCCACAGTCCTCTTCATCTGTGGAGAACATCCTAGAGGAGGCGTCGCCAGTGCTAAAGGAGCTGGTGAAGGAGGAGGCGCTGCAGCAGGAGCAGTGCCTCTACAGGAGACTGTCCCAGGACATCCAAGACCGTCAGTTTGAGAAGCTGAGTGAGCACCTGGCTCAGATCCTGTCAGACAACATGGCTGCACAGGAGGAGCAGGAGGAGCTGAAGGAGGAGGTGCGCCCTCACGTTCATGTCCCGCCTAAAGACCTGGCTCCACCTCCAGCAGAGCCAGACGCCCCGCCAGGACCCGGTGAGACGAGCCCTGGCCAAGATCCACACCCTGACAGTGTCCATGGGGCAGCAGCGAGCTCCCAGACTGCCCCCTACACCTCCACCGCCATCAGACGCTCGTGTTTCTGTGGCGGGCGCCGTGTGTGCGACCGAACCAGCAGCACAGACGCTCGTAGCTTCTGGTCCCAGTCCTGGCTCTGAAGAGTGGAACCGGTTTCACATGGCGGGCCTTGTGTACGAGGTGGTGTCTCTGGTGTTGCAGACGGACAGGTTTGCGGAGCTGAAGTCTCTGTCCGAGGATCTGCTTCAGGAGCTTCGTCCGGAGATGTCGCGGTGGAACATCAGAGTGAGGCCTGATGTCTGCAGCATCAGGGAGGCGGCCCGAGCAGTGTACAGCCACCTGTGCCAGGACCGGCAGAGGAACTGGGTCACTCTGGACGCCATGATCGGAGGGGACTACATCGGAGTCATCGTCCACCACATACGCAAACATCTCATCGCTCCCACGGCTCTCCTCCCCTCTCCCTCTCCGGTCGTCAGTGAGGAGTGAGGAGGCGCAGCAAAACTACAAAAGAAATAAAAACAAAGCATCACAAAACACTGTTTTTCTGCTTCATCACGTTTTTACAGAAGTTTGGCTTAAAACTCCAGTCCATTCAAAAGTTTTATACAGTGAAGAGGGAGCAGCGTCTGCACCTCGTTTCTATAGTCTCTGTCCTGGGTCTACAGCCTCAGTCCTGGGTCTACAGCCTCAGTCCTGGGTCTACAGCCTCAGTCCTGGGTCTACAGCCTCAGTCCTGGGTCTACAGCCTCAGTCCTGGATCTACAGCCTCAGTCCTGGGTCTACAGCCTCAGTCCTGGGTCTACAGCCTCAGTCCTGGGTCTACAGCCTCAGTCCTGGGTCTACAGCCTCAGTCCTGGATCTACAGCCTCAGTCCTGGGTCTACAGCCTCAGTCCTGGGTCTACAGCCTCAGTCCTGGGTCTACAGCCTCAGTCCTGGGTCTACAGCCTCAGTCCTGGGTCTACAGCCTCAGTCCTGGGTCTACCGCCTCAGTCCTGGGTCTACAGCCTCAGTCCTGGGTCTACAGCCTCAGTCCTGGGTCTACAGCCTCAGTCCTGGGTCTACAGCCTCAGTCCTGGGTCTACAGCCTCAGTCCTAGGTCTACAGCCTCAGTCCTGGGTCTACAGCCTCAGTCCTGGATCTACAGCCTCAGTCCTGGGTCTACAGCCTCAGTCCTGGGTCTACAGCCTCAGTCCTGGCTCTTGTTGTCAAAAAGATTTGACTGACGTGTTCAGAATTTGGTACAGAAATAAGGCCAAGATTTGCATGAGTTAAAATAGAACATTTATTTCTCTTTACAATTAAATTTTGATACAAAACTCTTGGAGCTATTAATTCCCTAAATCTATCCCTGTGCTCAGACTGCTCCCAGAAATGTCCTCCCCACAGTTTTATCAGAATGTCCGATGACGTCATATGGTCTGAGGCTGGTCCCGGTCTGGACTGGCCTAGTCCAGTTTTGTGTCTCAGGCCTTGTCCCGATAAGAGAGACACGCTGTTCCTGAAAATGATACTTTTATCACAGAAGCCTTGTCCTTGGTGCTTCCCTGAATTCCACTAAATCCAGGCTTAATATTGCACAAAGACATGTTATGCAAACACCTACTGAAAATCATTAGTATACAACATTTTAATTCTACAACAATCCCTCTCTTGACCTATCATAAATAGGTCACATCCACGTTCTCATCCATCCGTGACATCATGAGTGACATCATCAATGCTTCTGCTTTAGTTCAGGCTGGACACCTGTGAAGACGTTAATTCAGAGAAAACACAACTAACAACCACATTTGAAACATTCCTTTACAAATCACATTACTGCTAACACATCAGGTATAATTATTTTAATTATTTAATAATGATGGTTTTCTTAAACCATGTCGTCTATTTTTCCTATAAGATTCTGCATTAGTGTGTACGCCTGATTTATTACCCAACTGCTGCTGTATAAAAAATATAATATAAACAAATTCCTTCAATACTATTTTATGACCACTGCTGTGTCATTCTGATTCTTCATCAACCTCGTCTGTAATGTATGCACTAAAACTTTTATTAATCACTATAGTTTAAAACTATTCTAATCTATTTACAAATATGTTTGCATATTTGCTTTTACTGAGCCATATTCTTAAACATATGTTTTTATCTAATAAATCTCTCTATACTGTGGTTTGCTTTCATTATCAGTGGCTTTGTGCCAGTGGGATTTTGCTCCATGTCTATTCCACATTCTCTAATCTGTGCTGACAAATCGACAGCTTTTAAAATTCTCAAAAATATCTAAATATCTACTTTTGTGCTATACCCAAATACATCAAAATGCTTTTAAATGTTTTGAATCTCTGTTGGTTCTAATCTATCTCATTAATCTAAGATACATTAGTCTAGGCTACACTCATGAACTTTTGCATTGTCAACATTCACAGATGTTTGAAACAAGTGAATTTGACAAGTATCTAATAAAACTGTGCATAAACTGTAATGAACTTTATCTACTTTTGAAGTAAATGCTTGTGAAATGGTCCCTTTACCATTTGATATTAGCACTGGCTAAAAATAATCTCTATTTTTGAAAGCATCTATGGTTGATGCATTTATCTATTTCTCTATTGTGACTCTAAAGCTCGGTTGCAGCTTGAGCCAAGGCATATTTCTAATTTGTGACTTCTGTCACTTTCAATGGCTGTAAAATAATTCTGATTCTAACAGTTTAGCTGCTCTATCAGAAGGATCACATTGTATGATACTATTTTAACTCTTACGTTGAATTGTGTTTATGTACAATGATCAAATTCTACTTTTTTACTACTATTTAACATCTACTAAAACACTAAAATACGCTAAAAACATTTTAACAGTTGCTCAGTCTCCCAGACTAAAAAGTCAAAGTTTTTGTCTGCCAGATGTCTGAATACTTAACATTTATTGCATTTGGTCACAGTTGTGGTTTTAGTTGTAGCAATTGCATTGGCAATAGATGATTTTTCATTGGCTGGTTCTTGTTCTGCAAATCACTATTTTATGTATTGTATTTCAGACAATTCCAAAAACAACACAGTAGTTCTCAAATATAAAAGACATAAATCTAAATCAAGTTGCCTGAAAGGGAGCGGGAAGAAGAGAACTATTTAAAAATGTTATCTACGATTATATGGCTATGGAATTAATTATTTAATAAACAAAAGCACATTCATGGCTTCTGTCCGCTGCTTATAACTGTTTAAAGTGTTGTCCAAAACTTAATGTGTGTAAATACATCAGCTGTTTGTAATAAACAATAACATTTAACCTGTTCTCCAATGGAGCAGCTCAGAGGCTGCATCAAGAGCGATGTTATATTTGAGCTATTTTTAGATTTAAAATTTTGTTAAAGCCTGTCGTTCTATGTCTGCATTTTAATACTACTCTCTATAAACACATCTGCACTAGATCCTACAGATGTGGAAAACAGAAGCATCTAAAATCTGACTCCATTTGATTCCTTTTTACTTTAGTTATTAGAATAATTTGACATTATTGATATTTATTTTCTTAAAGAGTAGATCTGTTTGATGTGTGCATTATAAGCGCTATTATTTCTCCTTTTGACTTTGCACAACAATAAAATTAGAATGACCCACTGTGGGACAAATAAAGATTTTTATTTTATTTTGGCAACTCCAAAAATGTATTAATAATTTTCCATTTTGCTTTTATGTTAGAAGGTTAAGGACCATGACCACCTCTGACAATAACATTACAATACTCCCTCTCTTGGTCGTGGGCCAAGTGTAAATGTAAGCGTGTGTGTGTGTGTAGATTACTGTTCCAATTATCTCCAGTTGTTTCCTCCCGGATCGTCCTCAATTCGTATTGTGGGCTGTGATGCCAAAGAAGAGGCTCATTTCCTTCTCATGTTTCATACTACTGTGTCATCCCTGAAGCAGGGGTAGTTTATCTTTTATCTGAAAAAGAAACATTAGAACACAAAAACGCCCACTTCCCTGGCATTGTGCAGCTTGTCAATCTTTTTTCCAATTGGGCAAAACATAACTGCATTGACAGACGGTGTGTGACATCAGGGCAGAGGCTGTAGCCAAATACAGACTTAACAAAATGTATGTTTCTAATTTTATACTCCCCTAAATGTGAGTTTACAAACCAAAGTTGTCCTTCAACCAACGACAGCTCACTGCGGTTGGACTGTGTCACTGTCAGGACAAACAGCAGAGGGAGGGACTCCCAGTACTTTCTGCACAGTACTTTCAGCAAAGTACTCATCTCAGAGTACTTTCACCAGAGTACTCTCACTTTTTCACCTGTTCAATAAAGCTTGTTATCTTTGAATCTCTAGTACTTACATCGTATGCTGTTGACAAAAATAATTATTCAATGATCACATTAAAACGTTAAAGAAAAACATTTGTTATTCCATTCTCCGTTCACCACTCCTCACTCACTCCTCACTCACTCCTCACTCACAACACACTCACAACACACTCACAACACACTCACAACACACTCACAACACACTCACAACACACTCACAACACACTCACAACACACTCATTGGCAACATACACAAACATATAACACACACAAACATATAACACACACAAACATATAACACACACAAACATATAACACACACAAACATATAAACAACACAGAAGGCCTGTAATTTAACTTTGTTATATTTTTCCATGTCCAATTACAATTGTCTCATGAGTTATTTTATTGTTGCAACTTTCAGAGCCTGCAGAACATGCAAAGCTTTGAGAGATTTTTCCTAAAAGGATCCATTTCAAACTCTAGTGTTTAAACCACGTGGTCTGTACTCGGGCTTCTCACAGACTGTGTCCCCTAAAGTTTAATGAGCTCTTATTGTTACTTTCAAACTAGTGCACGTGCAATACATTTTTTCCCTTTTTCAGTAAAGCCAGTTCGGATTCATTAAAAATGTAAATTAATTTCAAACTTTAATACTTCACCTTTGTTTCACGTTCATGTGGAGAAAAGACTATTATTGTACGTGTACTAACGTACTTGCACCAATCATGTCTCAGATAAACCGCCAACAGTTGTATCAAAGACATAATTGTCCTAATTGTTTCTAATTTATCTATTTGGAAGAGAAACATGTCATAAAAGATTTCATAAAATGTTTCTACATCCGTGTTTTCAACCAGTGGACCGTGGTGCGTTAGTGTGTCATCAGAAATGATCCAATATCACCTTTAGCCAAAATTTAGAAATACTCTATATTATTTTTCAATTGTTTATACAAACCACTTTGTATTAAATGCAACGTCCATTAAAAGCTGCAGCTCTTTTTTCCCTAGCACCAGTTTCAACTGTCCTGAGGACCCTGAGGACCTGAGGACCCTGAGGACCTGAGGACCCTGAGGACCTGAGGACCCTGAGGACCTGAGGACCCTGAGGACCTGAGGACCCTGAGGACCTGAGGACCCTGAGGACCTGAAGACCTGAGGACCTGAGGACC